AAATAAATGATAGATATATTATTTATGAGGGATAAAAAACAAAATAAAATTTGTGCTAAAATATTTTAGTTAAGATTAATGAGATATTTGGTTATGTTTCATGTTGTGGTATTTAATTATGTATGACTTATGTTTTTTTGTATTATGACTAAAAAAATATGAAATTATATAATTTTTTTCTTTTGTTATGACATTATTTTAGTTATTATGATTCATGAGAGCTACTTGGTTATGATTGGGTATCAAGTTATATCATTTTGTACATTAGTTATGACTAAATTTCTTTTTAAGTTATGATATTATTTTAGTTATGATTAAAGCGATATTTAGTTATTATGTTATGTTTTGTGGTTATAACTTAAAAAGTATGAAATTACTACAGTCATTAGGTTAAATAGACAACATTTAATGAATAATTTTTATTTCAAAATGAAATAAAATATTACTACAAAAATTTATATCATTAAATAAAATAAATATAGGTTATTGATGATGGTAGAGAAATTGCATCACTATAGGTCAAATACATTCAAACTAGGTTGACACCTATTAGCCTACCAATCATTTGCATTATATTCCACCTCAGTAATTCAATAAAAACATTAGAAATGAAACAATGAAAAACAAATTGTTGATCAATCATCGAAAGAGGAAAACAATTCACTTGCGTTGGCCGAGTATATATAATACAAATCGCTTTGAATTCTCTCATGGTCACTATAATTTTGTTCTTTTTTAATAATTTAATCAACTATAGAATTTTGTACATATGTAAGATTATATAAAAATATTTACAAATTATCAGTTGATGAACCCCCTAATTGTATTGGAGTTCTAATATTAGGTTGTTGACTTTGTAAATGCTTGTTAGTACGCCTTTTAAATGACTAATACCCTTTGCAGATACAACACTAAATAAATATGCACAATATTTACATTTTACTTTAATTATAGTTATACCATCAAGATTATTTACAGATACTCTTTCCAAATACTCCCAAATAGTCTAGTCATTCCCCTAGATGATGATGATGATGATGATACTGAAAGGGGGATATTAGGTACAGTAGAAGGAGAATCAACAAATTCATGATGTGCATATGCATCAATATCAATATAAACATTAGGAATATTATGATTCATAATAATGTAAGTAAAATAATAGACATCAACTAACAATTAATTAAAATAATGAGTAAATAATAACAAATAATATATGTTAAGAAATAATTAACGTAAAAAAATGAGTAACTAACAAATATTAATTAAAATAATTAATGTTATCAACTAGTAAATGTGATACAAAAATTAGTTTATTCTAATAAAAAAAAGGAAGATGTTTGAGGGTCACAATTTTTGTGGCCACAATGGCTCAAAACTGCCAAAACAACGTCGTTTTTGCAGTTTTGAGCCATTGTGGCCCTTTAGCATTGTTGAAAAAAAAATTATTGCACAATTGCAATTGTTATTTAGGGATGAGACCTCAAAATTAATTGGGAGAGTTGAGAGAGAATGAGAATTTGGGAGAGAGATTTGTTTGTGATAAATAAAAAGGGAGAATGGTGGTATATATAGGACTTGGGAAGGAAGGGTTAAATTAAAAAATATATATATTTTTGGCCATTGTGAATTTTTCAAGTTGTTGACTGCAGGAGGAGGTAGTCACTGGGGGGTGAATGGGGCCGAGTCGAACTATATGGGAGGGAATTTTCGGGTCGGATTGGGCTCCAAAACACATGGCCCAAGCCTAAGGTCTCAAGTTGGGCTCGGGCCTAACTGAGCCTACTTGGGCAATAGATGGACTTTAGGTGGATCACGGGCTAATAGGCCGAATTTACATCCCTCTGTGGGTGGCTATGGGCTTGTTGGCTTGACAAGGCCAACATTGTCCAACTTAACCTCATATTTTCAAGACTTGTAAAAAATGTTTAGTCTAAACAGTTGGGGTCGGCTAGAGATTTTTAATTGAACTTTAAATAAAAAGTTTTAGCTATATATAAATATTTATTTTAATTTTATATTATTTAATTACAAAATAAACTATAAAATAAAAAAAGATGTACTCAAATCAGAACATTTGTTACAGAATCACATTTACTATATAGTTTAATTTTGTTAATGTTTCAAATTAAAATATTTACCTTGTGCATATAAAACGACTCGCAAACTCAATGTCAAATCGGATTGGGTTGGGGCCACACATACTTTGAGGGGAATTATATTTATACAAAAAAAATAAATAAAAAATGTTTAGGTATATTCATTTTTTCAATACACCTTATTAAATTATTTAAGATTACCATTTATTCTAATACATTTCCCCCCCCTAAATTATCTCTTTGAGATACGCCAAAATAAAATAAATTAAAAAATTAAAAATATTTTTGAAAAATTCTTTGAAAATTCTTTCTTTTGTTCACATACATATAAGAATACGACCAAGAAACCCGGCACCGATAAAGAAGAACAACAAAGGAAAAAGAGAGGGTGAACTTCACGTTCAAACTTCTATAAGCGAACAATAATGACAAAAAATAAACTGCATAATCGCTTTTATGTAACAAAAACACAGAAATCAATAATTATACTTTGATATTTATGTAAATACTTACATCCTTTTTGATGAGTTACTTAAAAATATTATTTTGATTATTACTCTCATCGTTTCTACTAAGGTTGGGACAAACTGCGTATTTGTTCGGTCCGAGTGATTTTTTGGATCAAAGGAAGACCTGGAGCTCGGTCCGCCCCAGATCCTCAGTGTTCATCAGAGAAAATGAAGAGCAGCAAGGAGAGTGAAGGGTTAGGGACGGTTTTGGGTGCCTATGTCCTAAAACCTGCGGATTTGGTGCCCTAATATGCGAAATACCAAGTGAAATAACAACAAAAGGGGTTGAAAAACTTACCAGTTGAGAGCAGTGTACTTCATCGAACACGAACTCAGTAATGGCAAGAAAGGAAGGGCAGAAGCTCTAGATCAGCAAGGACGAAGGAAAATCAGTAAAGACGAAATGAATAAGGAAATGGCGTATATAATGAAGGAAGACCGCCAAAAATTTAAATCTGAACGAATGTGATGTTTGGCCGTTCGAGGCCAATCAGCGCACGACACGTGTCCCTATTACGGCGACGTCAGTATTGAAGAGACATGATGGTGAATCGAGGCATCGACCGGGCAAGTTTTGAAGACAAGCATGCCAACTAGCCCAGTCACCGTATTACAAATCGAGGACCGAGGAAATGTTACCCCGGTTAGAATAGGTAATCCCAATCACGCTTGTGCGGACGGAATTAAGGGGCAATTGAGAGGAAAATTTATGATATGGATTGGACCATGGTAATGGCCGAACAGATTTGGGCCGAACAAGATTGGGCCGAGGTAGCACAGCCCGTGCCCTGAAAGGATTTGCTCGGTTAAGGCAAGGCGCAGTTAGACCGAGCTACTTGGCTGCATGGTATAGAGGCCGGACATGTGAGATGTCTGGCGCCAGGAATGGCGTTGTTGTTCCATGGTTCATGAGTTAGCCGGGCAGGAAGGTCAGCGGCAAAACCAGTAGGAATTGTCCCGAGCTCGGCTATGCCGGGATGCAAACGAGCTCGGTCCTTATTGAGCACGGCGAGCGGAGCGCTCTGGCCAGCTGCACAGCACGGCCGTTGATAGCCGAGAATATTCAGCCTGGCTACCGAGCACCTAGTAGAGTGGGCTGGCAGTTTGGTTAGGTGGTGTTCAGCAAGATTTGTGCTGATAGATGGGATAGCAACACCACGTGTCGAGAGACGAATGAGAGTAGATTTAGGGCGTAGAAGGTATATAAGCGAGTCTGCGCCCCCCATGCTGGGATAGATGAACATTTGGTAAGAGAAATACTTACACTCAACTCTCTCCTTACACTCTCTATCCTCAGGTGTGTGCTAACTTGATCGTCGGAGGGATTTTCCGGCCACACACCGCTGGGTAGCTCACTGCTGTTTTGCACGCAGGTGATCGGATAGAAACGGAGCTTGAAAGAAAGGAGTGCGGGCTTGCCTGAATATTTGCTCCCCGCACAAATGTCTATAAAATATCTTGAATATAAGAATTAGAATTTGGTAGATCAAATATCCAAATAATAGAACTTATTAAAATACAATAATATTTTGTAGACTAGTTGGAACACAAACATTCAAAAAATGATTTTCTAATAAATTTTCCCTAATAATTTTCACATTAATAATATTTTCACTAATCGTTACCTCACTAATAATCTCCTTAAACCTAATCTACCAAACAAACGTGACCATATTTTACAATACAATACGATCATGTTTGTTTAGATGGATATGAGTTTAGAATTGGACTAATAGCCTAATAAAATTATTAATTCAATACTTGGTTAAACAATTAAAGCATGGATTGACAATCCATCTAGATATGGTATCTCACATATACAGAAGGGAGTGAGATATAAATTAGAGGATTAAGCCAAACTCTAAACTATTAGTCATTCCTTATAATCCTAACTCAATTTAAACATAGGATATGATACATAGTCTAAAGGAATTTGTAGTTCTAGAATTATTAATCATGAGAATATTAAGGCCCCGTTTGGGGACTTATTTTTTTAGCCAATTAGCCAAAAAGTTACTAAATTAGCCAAAAAGCCAAGAACTCATACTAAAAAGTCAAAGATTCTATTTTCTCTCTACTTTTTGCACATCTTTTCGTAATTAGCCAAAAAGTCATCCCAAACATACAAATTTTTTTACCTACAGTTTTAGCTAAATAGTCAAAAAATTACTAAATTAACCTATTCCCAAACGAGGCCTAATCCAACCTAATTCAATCCGCCTACACCAACAAGTTTGGTCCGAATCCGACGCCCCTTATTTCGCGAAGAGGATATGGACCCGGTAGAATAACCCGGACCGTAAAGATACCTGACATATCCAACCCGTTTTCAGCATGTTCCGTACGCAGGCGGACCCTATCTGATGCCCAAATTTGAAATATTTCACTCTCCCCTCTCACTAAATTCACTCCGCGCCTCTCTCTCTCTCGCTCGCTCGCTCTAGAACCCTACCTCCCACCTGTCTCCTCTCTCCTCACTCGACACCCTTCTTTCTCTCTATCTCTCTCTCTCTCTTCAAATTTGGATCGCCCGCGTTCAATTCACGCCCTCACTCTTCAAAACCCTATATCTGTCTATCTCTTTTTCTCTCTCTTTCTAATTTGGCCATTGTTGTTAATTTTCTCTCTCCTCGATTTCGGACCACAACAAACCCTATTTTCTCTGCAAACTATTTAGCTACACCATGAGGAAGGATACGAAGAGAAAGGCCAGCCAAAAGGTGGAGCCGAAATCTACAGAAGAGACCACGAGCAAAGAGGCGAGCCAATCTAAGGTTACAGAAGAGACTACGAGCAAATCTAACGTGGAAACAACAACCTCCAACAAGGAGTCAAGCAAAGCTGGTAGAAGAGCTAAGCGAGTCAAGGCTTCCAGGCCTGAATCCGAGCCCCAGTTCTTTCCTGAAAAGCGTAATTTGGTAGTATTTGCTTCTTCTAGCTTTGGATTTTCTAACCTACCCAGTTGACATTGAGCTTACGATTTGTATGTGATTTGTTTGTGTTATCAACTATATGTCATTTTACATTTGAATAGTCAGGTGAAACATATGACTTATTTTCCAACCTTTACATATGCTTTTACACAAATTCAACACAGGTTTGAGTAAAAATCTTCACCTGATATCAAGGGCTCCAATGGATAAACTCAAATGAAATGGGATATAAATTGGAGTAAATGAAATGGGTCTCCCTTGATTTGGGTAAAATTTTGTGTAAAACTAAATTTCTTATAAGCTTGAGTAAATCAGTGGAAGTGATGCTAATGGCTTTTTAGTGAAATTTAAGTTTTGAGTCTAGAGTAGAGTAACAATTGGAGATGCCATGACTAACACTATGTTTGCTTTGCGAGAAGATTTGGGGATTGGATATTTTTAGTTATGTGCTTTAGCTTCCACGATATGGGAAATCAATTATAGTTGCTAACTTGGTGTTTGATTGCTTGAAGAGAACATTCAGGAAAAGAATGTGTGATTAAACCTAGTCTATGTTGTTTTAGCTTAGTCTACAAAATGTGAAAAATTGAATAATTGTTGAAGTATATTATGTAAGATGTACTCGATGTTACTCTGGTGATGTGGAGTCCCATGTTAGCATTTTGTAACAGCTAACCATGATCAGTGAAATAGGAAAAACATAGAAGAGCAAATAAACAAGAATTGAAATTACATGCACATACAATGATGCAAATTTTTTTTTTGGTTCAATCCAAAACTAAGGCTGTACGGTGCAAGCCATTTCATTAATGTTACAAGAGAAATACATGGATAGTCGAGCTGCCTCTCTCAACTACATATACATATAATTAGGGAAACAAGTTATAAGTGCAAAAATATCATAAATCCTCTTACTCCCATGTTGGATGTGCTGTCAAGTACTTATCACGATCTAGACTATCCCAACATCTCAATTCCTCAAATACTAGGACATGTGTAAAAAATCTTTCTCGCTGTGGGCCACATTCTTTCATGTATCTCCCTTCACCTACTTTCTTCTCATATGCTCCAAAACTTCAAATGTGTTTGATTCACCATGACTAAAAACCACAAGATTGCAAGAGAGCTTGACTCCATGGATGGAAGACTGACAAATGAAAAGCAGAGGAAAGGTTGCGAATAGAGAGAAAAGATGTTCAATTTAAAACCCACTTGTTTGTGATGTGTGAAGTGCAGTCGCACATTGCTTGGGTGCAAAAATAATTTGTAGTATATAAGCGCGGGACACCCTCACCTCAATAGTTAGCTTTTGAGATTGAGTTCTATCCAAGACAATTTAACATAGTATTAGAGTTTAACATGGTATTAGAGTTGAAGTATTTATGGATAGGTAGGGTGTGTGTCCTTCACCTACATGTGGTTGGTGCTACCGAGTGAGCACGCTACGAATGAGGGTGTATGTGAAGCAAAGTCTCATATTTTACGAATACAAAAGTAATGTGCAATATATAAGCATGAGGGTACCACCCTCATCTCAATAGCTAGCTTTTGGAGTTTAGTTTTATCTTAGATTGTGTAACATGTTATGTCTTTGCATAATTTGATATATAAAAACTAATAATTAATTTGTGGCATTTATTGTTTTTATACCATTTGGATTTTCAAAAACGTTGGTACTCGGTAGAAAAATTAATAAAAAATTTATGCTGGCATAGAGTTAACATAAGGCAAGAATTTGGTGTGGCACTACTTATTTACTAAAATGTTACATAGGTAATATCATATTATGTATATTTTAAATGAATTTTAATAATTTTGAGTAATACATAATAATTATATTGATAAATCCACAATGGTAATACTGAAATGCATTGGTTGGTATGTACCATACCAATAACAGAAAACAATATGTTAGCTGGTACAGCCTACTAGTTAACCACATTGAAGTGGAAGTTTCTGATTTTGGAACTCCTAATTCCCACTTACTATAGTTTCTCAATAAGGAAATGGAGCATAACTTACAACCCCTTTTCTTATACTTTTGTTAGACAATTATATTTGATTTTCTTTGGTGAAGCTACAGTTTTAACAATCATGAACTATTTTCTCCCTAGGACCGAACTCATTTAATGATTCAATGATTACATTTGACATAGAAGTGGGAGTGCTGTTTTATGCTCAATACAATCTTTTGTTGTCACTGTATCATGTATTGGTAATTAACTGTTGTGCTACTTTTTGCAGGAAGACCTATGGCAACAGGTTTTCCCAGTTGGGACGGAGGTTTGGCTTTGATACTGCTTTCTCATATTTGTTGTGACAGTTCTTGCAGTTTTTTTCTTATTGCTTATAATTTTTTTATATTATTTTTTTTGCCAGTGGGATCAGTTGGACCATGTTTATCAGTACAAGTGGAATTTCTCAAATCTAGAAGTGAGTTGTGCGATCATGTTATGTTCTGCTTTCAATATGAATAGTTGATGTACCATTTGTTTTATTTTCTTTTGCCTCTCATTGAAATAAAAAAAAAAATCCTACAAAAAGAAAAGAAAATTAAAATTATAGGAAAATAAGACATAAGAAGAATGTTTAATACTGAATTACTCTTTGTTTTGGCTAGAATGCATTTGAAGAGGGTGGAGAACTATATGGGCAAAAAGTCTACCTTTTTGGTTGCACTGAGCGTAAGTCGTGACTGAAACTTGGACTCCTTACATCATTTCTATATGTTATGCATTCACTTGCTGTCTTTGTTATAAAAAAGATTTTTTAAATTTGAACAGAGGAAATGATGTTAGAATGTTATTGGACGTGTTCTTGTAAGGAGTATCTTTATTTGGTCCTGTATGGCTAGGAGGGTAAGGAACTCACAGTAGAATGTGGGAGTTAGAAGAGATGTAACAATACAGAAAGTGAAACAATTGTCAAAAGTTAATGCGCTTGGGGTTATTTCATATTGTATTATTGTAACTTGCTGTTATTATATGGCCTCAAAAACACTATATTCATTTATTTGACATCATTTTTGGTGTTATTCCTGTAGTAGTTATAGATGTTATTTTTGACCTGTTCATTTGCCTTAACTGTTTTCTTGCTTTCCTATAACACTTTTTGTGCAGCTCAATTGGTCTTTTTCAATGGTGAAGGAAAAGTAACCTGCATACCTGTTGTAGTTGCTGTAAGTTACTAAACTATTTCCTTTGTTAATAGGGTCAACAAAAAAGAATAATTTGGTTAGTGCTGGATTGAGCCTGAGAATTCTAATGGTGGTCCTAGGCCAGTCTTGGATTTTGATATGTAATCATTTGGCTGCTTGTTATTTCTGCATATTGACCTCTGGAATCTTGTTAGGGTGAAATATAGTATTTTTCACTTGGCTGTTTTATATGTTCGTTTTGTCTGGTGCCATAGTTAGATTACTGTACTGCTTTGTTAGATTTCATGTGGCACTCAACTTTAAGTCTTTTATTAAATTCAGATGTTTGTTGCTTGGTATAATTTGTGTTGCTGTACCCTTGGTGTGCAGTTCTTTCGTCCTAAACATGTAATTTGAGTACTTCTTTTCTTTCTTGGATATGCTGTTTTCTTGGTTCAACCTCAACCCAGTGGATGTGAACTATGAAGCACATATACTTCTAGAAGACTGTTGTATTCGTATGTGGATACTCATAGATCTGTATCCGATACTTCATAAACATATCAGCTACTTGATATTAATTTTGAGAAGTATTGGATAATTTTTGGATACGAAGTCACATATCCAAGCTATTATGAAATTGAGATTGTAATAATTTTTGCATAGTGTTAGTATAATTGTTAGAATAAAATATTTTTTAAATATTTTTCTTATTTCTTCTTGAATAAGAAATTAGTGAGATCAAAGTAGTGCCGTACTTTCTTAGAATTTATTGAATTAATGTATCCTTAATGTGTCTTGCATGTGTTCAATATCCATGTCCATACTTTGTGTTTGTAGAAATCAATGATAAATAAAAAAATGGGAAATTTCTATGGTAACCCCCGCTTTTGTGGCGTGCACCATATGCCTAGTTATGACGTTTGTGGTCTTTGGTTTATGATTTATTGTGGAGTTAGTTATTATTTGGTTGTACACATTGTGTTGTTAGGTATGATTCATTGTGATGTTGGTTATGGCATTATTTTGGGTATGATCCAAAAGATTTTTAGTTAAATACCTTATGTGGTGTTTGGTTATGACTCATTTTTTTTTAGTTATGACTAAAAACTATTCAGTTATGATATTTGTGGTTATCAACCTCACAAATATCATAACTTGCATATGGTACACACTTTTTTGAGAGTGTGTACCATAGCATGACCCTAAAAAAATATAATGATCAGACAATTGAATTTCAACGATTAAATACGCAAGTAAACTTGCATACAATACTCTTGCGTATAACATTTTTTAATAGTGAAAGGAAAAAAGAAAATGAATATAAACAGTTTAGACTTGATCTTGAAATGAATTTTTTTATATGAAAAAAAGAAGTTAACCTACTATTTGCTCTTAAACTAATAGTAATACCTTATGAAGCACAGATACTCAAAAAATATTGCTGTACAAGTATCGGGTACTTACTGGGTGCACGTACTGGTACAACTGCACATGTACCGGGTACGCTGTATACGGTTGGGTACGCCATGGGTACGCGGTGGGTACTCAATGGGTGCGGGGTGGGTACTCCATGGGTACTCCACAATAGTTTTTTTTTTCCCTCTCCAGAAGTTAGAATTTGATGCAAGTCTATGGCCTTATTTTTCCTTAATCATCTTCAAAAAATTTATGTAATTTGGAATCACCAACTCTTTACATAGTTATTGAGTAACTTTGCTCTCTTCCACTTATTGTTGTATAGGTATGAAGCACGAGTATGAGTACTGGTATGGGTATGAGTACTGGTACTAATACGATACGGGTACGCCGATATGGTAAAATTAAAAAAAATAGGGTACGCGTACAGCTTGGTGTGTTTGTAAAAAAATATTTATTTTTAATTTAGAGTAATGCAAAAATTAATTAAATGGTTTAATTTGTTAAGGTCTAACCTACAATTAACATTTAAATGGCAAAAGTAAAGATATAAACCAAAATTAAATGTCAACATATTAAATAACTTACAAACCATAGTTTAATTTAAAATCATTCTAAGGCCTCGTTTGGGAACAAGTTATTTTAGTAACTTTTTGACTTTTTACGAAAAGATGTGCAGAAAAGTAGAGAGGTGATGTGACTAGTTTTAGTTGATTTTTTGGCTTTTTGGCTAAAATAATCAGTCTCCAAACGAGGCCTAAGCATAAAATAAAAAACAAGTCTAGTGAAAGAAGCTTTATCTCTGTAGTAGAAGAAAATATTGTTTTAACTGAGGTATGGTACGACTTAAGTGTATACTAGGTATGTTTGTGTTCGCCAAAAATTATGAAAAAAAAAACTTGGGTACGTGTTTTGTGTATTCGGTATGTATGCAGAAGTACCATATGAGGTATCATACGCTGGTAAGTACCTGATACGGGTACGGCATGTTTTTTGAAGTACCTATGCTTTGTAGTTGTATAGTATTATATTTGTATTGTTGAATATTGATTTACTTTGGATTTTATAATTTCTCTTTATAGCTATTGTTTTGAATTTTGATTTGTAGGTGGGATATTTAGCTATAAATTTAATAAATAAATAAATAAATAGATAAATAAATATTTATTTGATGTACCCTAGCTGTATCCCTGCCTTACTTTTTTTAGATTTTAGTGTATTGGCGTTCCCGTATCGTATCTGTACCCGTATCTATACCGGCACCCGTGCTTCATAGGTAACACCTAATTCCTCCTTTCTTACCGTGCATATATATTTCAATACTAAAAGTTATAATTTTTTTCTAATGTATCCTGGCCGTGCCCATATCTTATATTTTTAGATTTTCTCGTGTATAGCTATCTTCTTATTGTATCCGTATCCACATTTCATAGAATGCAAACAATATTATAAATTGCTCTTTTTAATCATAAAAAAACAGAATATATCGCTTAGTTTGTTTGTAATATCATGATCTTGACATATTTTATTTAGCTGGAATCTTTAGAAGCTCCAACACTGTAGACATTTGGAATCATGTTTTTTGTGTGAGTATTACTAAAAGGAACACATGATAATTTTAGGTACTCATTCTTTTTGGACCATGACTTCTCTTACCATGTGCAACTTTGTTACATGCATGTATAACACATTTGTTTTTTTTGCATGCATCTGCTATTTTTTCCTTATTCCTTTTGGTTCTTTCTTGTTGAACAGGTTGCATCTCCTTTTCCACCTTCTGACAAAATCGGGATTAACTCTGTCCAAAGGGAGGCCGAGGAAATTGTGCCCATGAAGCAGATGAAGATGGATTGGGTCCCATACATTCCATTGGAAGACAGGTATCAAGCTTGATTTAGTTTCTTCACTTTTTGTTTTTTGTCCCAATTTATTTGATGAATGTTTCACATTGCACACCAATTTAAAATTCTTTGTCATGCACCTGATGCTATTGTGCAATTGTATTTTTCTCATAGAGATTCCCAAGTTGAAAGACTCGCATCACAAATTTTTATTCTAAGCTGTACGCAAAGAAGGTATTGTTGCACTTTTTTTTTTTTTTTTGGCTTCCTTATGCATTTGACTTTTGTTCATTGAATTTTTATTGGGATTTGTTGGCGATGTTAGGCTACCACTGTTTCAAAGCAAGTTAGATTGATTGAATATCTTACAAGCAGGAGTAATTGTTTTATTTACTCAAAGCTTTTTTTGAGTAACAACAAAATTTTATTGAAACGGGAAAGAGAAAGAGGGCAAGAAGTCTTCATACAAAGAAAGAAAAAGAGAAGAAGAAAAAGCAAAAACAAAATTGCAAAACTCGTAACCTTAAGGATGGCAAACAACAGCCAATCCCTAGAGATCAAAAACAAAGGGACTTCTTTAAAAGGAGGAGATACAAATGCCCAAAATGAGGCCAAATATTCCGCATTGTCCCATAAAGCCTCTATACTTACTTCCTTGCCTTCATAAATTCGAACATTTCTCTCCAACTATATAACCCGGAAAATAGCAAAAACAATGCCTATCTACATTGCTTTGGCTTTCTTGGTACTCCCAAACCCGTCAAACTAAATAAGAAGCATATGCATACACTCCCGTGGAGCAACCCATTGCACATCACATAACCTGAAAAGACGCTGTCATAATACAGAAGCCATCGGGCAATGAAGAAAAAGATGATCCGCTACCTCCAAATTTCTCTTGCACATCACACACCATTGAGGGCATAGAGAGTGATTAGGCCTTCTCCTCTAGAGAACATCAATAGTTGTAACACTTTTTTGAGCCAAAGACCACATGAAAAACTTCACTTTATGAGTGACATCTGCTTTCCAAATTTTCTTATGAAAAGGGAACTAAGGAACCGAGGGATTATCAATAATCTTATAAAAAAAGGTTTTGCATGAAAAGATCCTTGAAGAGACAAAATTCCACACCTTACTATCAGAAGACGAAGAAAGAGAAATCCCCTCGAGCACTACCAACAAAGATGCCAACTCCCTTGTCTCCCTATCATTCAAGTTTCTAATGAGATCAAAATTCTAGGGGATGGGTGCCATAGACGAGCAAGCCACCGACGTTATAGACACATTTGGAGAACGAGTCAACCTGTAAAGAAGGGGAAAAGATCTAGCAAACGAAATATCTCCTAACCAAACATCCTCCCAAAACCGAACATTCTCCCCATTCCCTACTCTGAATGAAAAAAAATTAGACACAACAGGATACAATGAGAAATGGATTTTCACGGTGAACGACAATTGCCTCTATTAACCACATTAGAATCCTTACCATTCGATTAACTCCATACTTGCTTTTAATAACTGAACACCATAACTACTCACTTTCAAGAGGAAATCTCCACAACCACTTGTCTAAGAAAGCAATATTCCTAGCAATGATGTTTCCTATAGCCAAGCCACCTTTTGCCCTAGAAAGAGAAACAGTCTCCCATCTAACCAAATGAACTCCTTTACCCTCCTCACACCCTTCCCAGAGAAAATCCCTCATCAGTTTCTCAATCTTTCTTTCAATGCTAATCGGAATTTTGAAAAGAGACAAGAAATAAATAGGAACAGATCCTAATACGAATTGTTCCAACGTATACCTCCCTCCCTTAGACAACAAAGCTCGCTTCCATCCCTTCAATCTTTTCCTAATTTTGACAAGAACAGATTCCCAAAAAGGCACCAATCTAGGATCTCCTCCCAACGGAAGCCCTAGATATTTGAGAGGAAATGATTCAATTGAGCATCCCAACATAGCAGCCACCCTATGCACATGACTGTCGTCTAAATTAATATCCACAACACTACTTTTGCTAAGATTGACCTTGAGGCCCGACACTATTTTAAAAATTTTCAGAATCTTTAGCGAACTCCCCACCTTACTTTCCTCCTTAGATGAGAAGAAAATAGTATCATCGGCAAATTGTAAGTGAGTAACACCTATCCTATCCGTTCCCACCACAAACCCCTCAATGACACCCCTATCCTTAGCTAAATCAATAATCCTACTTGTGTTTAGCAACTAAAATAAACAAAAATGGTGATAAATGATCACCCCGTCTTAGACCTCTAGATGCTTGGAAAAAATCCCCCGCCTTGCTATTCACAATGATTGCCATATAGTATGACGACAAGCCCCCCAAATCCACTTCTTCCATCTAATGCCAATCCCCTTCCTATCCAAAACAAAATCTACAAAGTCCCAATCAACATGGTCATATGCCTTCTCAAAATCTACCTTAAGTACAATACCTTCCTTACGTAGTCCCCTATACTCTTCCACAACCTCGTTAGCCACTAAGACTACATCCAAAATCTGTCAACCCTGCATGAACGCATCTTGTGCCGAAGAAATAGTTCTCCCCAAGACAACTCTTAGTCTCTTAGGAAGCATTTTAGCTAAATCTTATAAAGAGATGTGACCAATTTAATGGGTCTAAAATCCCCAATCTTAATCGATTTCTCCTTCTTGGGAATTAGACAAATGAAGGATGCATTGGTGTACAAATTAACCTGCCCACTCTCAAAGAACTCAGTAAATACTCTCATAAGATCCCTTTTTACAATTTCCCAACAATCTTGAAATACTGCCATTGAAAAACCATCTGTGCCTGGAGCCTTATTTCTGTCGCACTCAAATGCAACCTGTCTCACCTCATCTTCGTCGAAGGGTCTTTCCAGCCACCTAGCAGTCGCTAAATCCATTGGGTCCCAATTAATGCCTTCAATCCCTGGACAATCCACACCCCCATCAGAATATAGATTTGAATAAAAATTAAAAATTTCCTTGACAATAAGCTCTTCCTTACATACAACTTCACCTGAAGCCACTTCCAAATTTTTAATAAAACTCTTCTTCCGCTTCCCTGACACAACTCTATGATAAAATCTAGAATTGGTATTACCCTGTCTAGCTTGGATTGACTTACTTGGATCATAGATTTGAAAATTGAATTAGTTGTGTATTGGGTTGAGTTACGCAATTTTAACCAGCCAACCAAATCATGGATGATCTTTTTGCAAATTCAGTTGTTTTTTAAATGGGTTTGATATAGTGTGGTTTGTTACATTATATATTCATTTACTTGCTTTATACTTTAAATTTGATTTGGTTGAAGCTCTGTTTTGAATGCTAGTGGAAATCTGTCCCCCATGGGACACACACCAATGGCTTAGGTTGCATTCCTTTAATTAAGAGACTTACGTTCAAGTCTCCTTTACTTACCTATCAAAAAAGGGTAATGCTCGTAGAAATTTGCGTAATAAGCAGAGGGTTCCTTTTTTCAAAATTTTGTTTCTTTTCCTTTGTTTCCAGTATGGATGAATAGTTTCAACTATTGATCTTATGGGTCAACATGGTGTCTGGTTGTCACTTAAACTTGGTGTGGTGGATTAACCCCCCTACCTCTCCAAGACAGAAGGTAGGGAAATGAGATGCTGGCCAAGAACATTTTTACAGGAATGGGCTCTATCGCTTCTGATATCCTTCACATTTTCAGTGCTAACAATTAAGAATAGAAGCTCTGAATGACATCTAGAAAGGATTTCTCCAGGTTGCAAATAATGTGTTTAATGGGATGGCTGGAATTGTGTAAAAAATGGTAGAAATAATTCACTTTGGCAATGGCACTCATACAATTACAACTACTGCTTACACGAATGTTTTTTCTTTTCTTTTCTTTTTAATCTTTTCCTTCTCTCTCGATTTTTTAGAGGATTTAAAACGAGATCATTGCTTAACTTCTGTTTAAACTATTGAGAATATCTCGAGCCTAGAAAATTGCACAGAGAGGTGTTATATTTGTTGTTTTGTGGTTGAGATTTGTGAAAGATATAATGTGGTGGAGAACTAATTATGTAATTAGTGCTATGATCTTGTGAAGAAAGGATAGACATTTATGTGTATTGTGGAGAATCGACCATTACCCAACATTGGACTTTTCAATACAACATGATGGAAGGGGTGGACTTGGTATAAACTTAATTTACCCCCTTGTATTTGTTGTTGAGAGTGAGAAAGAAACAAAGAAAAGGACATAGAAGAGGAGTTGATGGAGAAATTATCCTTAAGATGACCCTTTGCCATGGCAAGTTTTGGCCTTCCTTATTTGTAACTTGTTAGCCCCTTTGGTTTTTGTAGTCTTTTTGTGCATCAAATACTTACTTTTCACATGTCATATCATATACATGTGCCTTTCAAGGCATATTTCCCTTGATAGTTTGTGGATGTGAAACCTAGTGTCTGCTCCAAGACATTTCTATGCATTGTCTTGAATTTCTATACATATTTATACTTATCTGACGTCCATTTATGGCCAATATTATTTGTTTCACCGATTTTCTCCCTCCCTTCAGCAGATTGGGGTGTAATTCATTTGTGCTGGGGAAAAAAAGGGGATAACTGTTATGGTTATTCATGTCTATGAAATTGTTTGTTGCAGGGCTGGTTTAAGACATTTGAAGTTGGAGCGTGTTAAGAAATTTGAGTACTGCTTACCTTGTAAGTTCTCAGTTTATGGTAGATTTGCTTCACACATTTGTCTTTTAGATCAACAAATAGATGATTATATTTTCTGCACTTGATTCTGATGAAGGGTTGTGTCACACCTCATGAGTTTTTAAAATTCATGTCCAAGCAATTGCTTCAGTATGTGTTATGTTGCTGTTTCAAGTTTCAACCAAGCCATCCATATCTCAGAGTATCCAATGCCTTTGCTGTCGATTCATATAGAGCCATATACTATTGGTTAATATGCCATACTTTGCTTCTTCTTTTTTTTATTGTACACGTAAAAAGAGTTAGGGTTCTTCATTTCTCATTCTCTCTCTCTGGATCTTTATCGTGTGCCTGGGAGAAGTCAAGTGACTTAATTCTAAGCCAGTTTTGCATTATTTCACATAAAATCAAAAAAGAAGACTTACGCTGGATAAAATGTTTTTGGGTTTGAGAATTTGATCTTTTGCTCCCTTTACTCTGCCTCATTTGTTTTGTTCTGTTTATGTAATTTTCCCCTTCTATTTTCTTTTTACTTTTTTAATGAAGCTTTCTGTAGACTATTTTTAAAGGTTGAAATATGAATTTTTGGGTGCAATCATCGGATTGTAACTTGTGTATGGTTTTCTGACTGGTTAAAGAATTTTTGATTTTTCAAGTCTTATCTCAATGGTCCATCATCCTTGCTCCTATGCCTTTGAGAAGACAATTCTATCCTATATATATTGTTTTCTTTTCACATAAATGAATTGAAGAGAAGCATCAAACGAGGTTTGAGGATTCAATTTATTTTTGCTACAGGCTGGAGATCTCTCTTTAATGAGTTTTATTTTTCTGTACCATCTTTGAATACTAAAATATGAATTTTGTTGCTAAAACCATATAATTCTAAGTTACAGTTCTTGAAGTTATATGAAGTTCTTTGAAATTTCGTTAGGGGAAACCCCCTTCTATTTTCTGTTTTACCATATTTGGGGAATATTGATTTCTAGGGTTAAGATATGCACATTGATCTAGTAGTTGTTGACAAATTGCCTTTTGTTTTTTAGATTTTGAGTTGTTTTTGAGGTATTTGTCATTGTTATACTATTTCCAGTTTTTCATTCGTTGTCTTTGTATGCCTTTTAAATCGTTTTTTAAGTTTTACATAGAGCCATGCTAGAGACACCAAGGAATCTTCCAAAAAAATTACCAAACACTCACATGGGTGTGGTAGCATTTTTGTTTTATATAATAGCATTTGATAACCATTACTATTGAAATAAATAGAGATGGAGTGAAGAACTTATCTTTTATCATTCTATTGATTTATTGTTAATTTTTTTTGGGGGGGGTGGTTTTAAAAGGTCAATCTTCATGTTGTTTTTTATTTTATGTGATTGCAGGGAAATGCATTTATAAATTCATTGGTTGTGTTTGGAGGAGCTCTAGAAATATGATTCCAATGCATATTTCAATACTTTATTTGGTTTAAGTTTTCAAAAATTGATTCCAAAACTCATTTCAGATCATGTTTGGAGAGCAGAGAATTTTTTGAATTTTGAGTCTACCCTCCTCCCGGACGTCTGGCCGGTTGATCGGAACAGTATTTTTTTTTTTGCAATTTCCAATCGCCACCTGTTATTTTGGAAAAAAAAATTATATATTTTTTTGATATTTTTTAAATATAGAAATTATTTTTTAGATCAAAATGACATTATTTTTTTGAATTGAATTTTCAAGAGAATTTGGTTATAAGTTTTGAATAGAATTTTCAATGGAGTTTTGAGTTATGTGTTTAGTTATGAGTTATAAGTTTTTCAATTAAGTTTTGAAAACTCTTTTCAAAACTAATAACTAAACAAATTTTCTCATTTCATATGTCATATCAAAAATTCAAAAATCAATTCAAAATTCTTTTCAAAATTCATAACCAAGAAAATTTTCTCATTTCATATGTCACATCAAAAATTCCAAACTCAATTTAAAACTCTTTCAAAATTCATAACCAAACAAATTTTCTCTTTTGAAATCATAATTCCAAAACTTACAAACTCAAAATACAACTCTATTTTCAAATCATAGTTTTAAACTCCACCAAACACTACCATTATTTTTCTATTAGCTTTCAAAACACATCGTACAGTATAAAAAGAAAATTAAAAAATCTAATGAAATTTTGTGATTTAAACCTAATATGTAATCTAGCATCTATAGTAATTATGTATATGGGTAGAGTAAGGCTACTGAAAATCTGTTGAGGCATTATTATGTTGGTGATTGAGTTGAAAACTTTCTCAAGTAGTCAAGTTTCGAAGAGTTGTCACTCCATCCTCTACCTCTAGATAAAATAAATCATTATATTGGTTATTTATTGTTGTAAGGTGTTGTCTTATGCTTTTGAGACGTGATGTGTATCTAATACCAAATATTAATACACAATTGGGCATTTAATGCTCTTTTCCAATATATTTTGTTTTAATCTGAATATTGTGAACTGTAATTTTACTTCATGGGCATCTGCTTCATTTGCATGTTCTTCAAACATTCTGATGTCATTGTTTTCATTCTTAAATTTTCTTTTTAACTATCTTCATGTTACTTGTGGCTACATTACGGAATCTTTTCTGATGACATTCTCCCTTTCACAGATTTCTATCAGCCCCTTACGGAAGATGAACTTGAACAGAGCACCATTGTGCAAATCATATTTCCAGCTGAAGAAAAGCCAGTAAGATTTTTGTTGACTGTGAGGTGAACTGATGGCTTATTTTGATAGTGGACATGGCTTTAGATTATGTAATGATAAATAAGATTATTGCAGCCAACAATTAATAGTTGGTTTGATGATTTGGTATGAATTCTACATCTTACAATATTGCAAATGTGTAACTCTTCAAATGGGGTTGACTAATCGGTTGTTTTCATACAATTTGTATAATCAAATTTATATTTTGCTTTTATTTTCTTTAGGTATTCTGTGAGTTTGATTGGGAGCTCGATGAACTAGAGGTAAGCATGACATTCTAATGTGCCTTATTTGAGTCTTCAAAATTGAAATGACAATAACTGGCTGGCAACTTGTACTGAACTTGGTTCTTGATATATGGCGAGCTATCAACATGGCTGACTATCTGCAAGTGCCATTTTGCATAGTTTGCTATGGTTATCAAGTATCAGATTCCCATTGTTCTGCTTATTCCCTTAACCACCAATGGTGGAGCTGATTTCTTGTTTTTGCGATAAAATTATTTAAACTTGCTATTTTTGTGATCATTAGAAGGCTGACATATGTCCTCTCCGTGTTTAATGATATGTTAGCATATGTACTAAATGTGGTATATCCACAATGAAAATGAGTTCATCTCTTGTACTAAATTGAAAGCTGTCAATGTCTAGGAATTTACTGATAAGCTCATTGAGGAGGAAGAGTTGTCTGAAGATCAGAAGGATGCTTTTAAGGTGAACTTTACTCCTACCAACTTATATTTTCCATGTTAGGAAACCATTATCTGAGTTTTATAATTATTTTTCAAATATTTTTCCTTCTCAGGATTTTGTGAAGGAGAAGGTTCGTGAAGGGAAACGAGCTAATCGTGAGGTATTTCATTTGAAACTCTGTTTGTGACAAATGATTTTTAATAAAATCATCCAATCTTCGTATGATTTAGTGTTGCAATTCTCTCTTATAGGCAAGGGAAGCACGGAAGAAAGCATTAGAAGAAATGAGTGAGGACACAAAGGCTGCATTCCAGAGTATGAAGTTTTACAAGTTCTATCCCATGCCAACGCCTGACACTCCTGATGTCTCCAATGTCAAGGTAAAATCTTTATCAACCCTTCTATATCATGCTTAATCTTTCATATTCAATTTGTGTTGATCCATGTTTCTATGATTAATCCATGTTGTTTTGTTTGATATATTGTTATATGATCAAGTCCAGATCTGCCTGAATGGTATGCAACTTCTCTTTTTGGTTTTTTTGGTCAATCGGTATGAGAGTAATTAATTACAAATATAAGAAGTATTACATCAAATTGACTACTAGCCCAACAAGAGCTAGAATGCCAACACAATCACCAAGCCCAACAACCACTACTAGCCCAAACTTGAGAAGAAATAACCTCACACCACAAAGTGGTGCTACACAATCACTAGGCTTGGAATTTTAGATGATAGTTAAGGTGTTGTAGTAGTTATTTACTACTTACTATTATAATTTATCATGGAGAGGCTTTTAGGAGTGTCCATTTATTGAGGAGTATTATTTCATATGAGCCTAAGTGCTTAGCAAAAAAAAAAAAAAAGTCTTGGTTTTATGAAGAGCAAGTTATTGGGAGTTTTTGTAGTTGATATCATAGCGCATTTCAGTTAACAGAGTACCACTACTGCACACAAACATATGCAAAGCCTCAACTTGAACTCAAAAAAAAATATAGAAAGAACTAACTTCTTGTTTAGTTTTCCATGAAAAAAACAATTATTATGTAATCCTTTTCTTGATGGCTAGTGCTTTCTTCAATTACGATATGCTAAAGGAAAATATCAATTTTATTACCAAGAATCAGGATAACCGAATAGAGATAATCAATGCTATAAAAATCACAATAAAATCTCTTAGGTTAGACGAAACTATTCTCTTTTTTGTTGTTTGGAATTATTCTAGCAATTATTTCTATTGAAGCAACCAAACCTTTTTGTTTCATGGTCAATACACAAGGTGCTTTACCTGTAAATTGTAACGTTACTTGGATAGTTTAAACATTGGCTAATTTATTATTTTATTAGGCACCTTTGTGGAAATTGTAAACACATATGTACATGTTGCATGTATAAAAATATATAACTAATTTTAATAAGAACTAGTGATTGTAAACTTAGAGTATTTAAGTTTATGAAAGAATAAATGGATAAGTGTAGCAAGGTGGTCTTTTTAGTTGAGTGTTTCGGGGTCTTTTGTTTGCTAGGGTCTTAGAGAACAATATTCTGTTTGATGCAAATATCAAGCAGCAATAGAGTAGGTTGTGATATAAATAAATAATAGAGATTAATGAGCCCAGAACAATATTTCATTGGGGACCAAAAGCCGGAACCAATTAGGAACATAAACCAAAAGTCTCCTTTATGTCTAAGGAAATACATGAAATTTGGTAGTTTCCACATTTGAATTAGGGAAAAAAAAGTGCATCAACAAAGTGCTGCCCAGTGTTGTGAAAGACGCGCTTAGGCTTAAGTAGCAGCAAGGCGCAATAGTTGCACCTGCAGGTACCCAAGGCGAGGCAACTTGAAAGAGGCGTGCGCCTTATGCGCGACTTGTCGAGGCAAGAAAAGGCGCAAGTCACACGCTTGGGCGCGACTTTTGTTTTTGGATCTCTGAATGAATCTAATGGCTTAAATCGTGCTTTTAAAGGCTCGAATCACAAAGGATTACAACTCTGAGCTATATGCGAGAGTACCCAATCCCAAATCGATCGAAATGCCCAAATTTCCATTCGTATTTGCTCGAAAGCTTGCTATCTCTCTCTGTCTCTCTTCCCTTCGGTTCGTCTAGGACCAGGTGAGTTGTTGTTGTTGTTCTTCTTCTTAGACTTTGCTCTCTTTTTTTTTTTTTTTTTTTTTTTTTTTTTTTGTTTCTTTGACTTGGGAGTTTTGACTCTCTCTCTCTCTCTCTCTCTTCTTTTTCTTCTTCTTCGCTCTTTGTTTTTTTTCCTGCTTCTTAGACTGAGTTTCTCTCTCTCTCTCTCTTCTTGCTGTGCAGAGTTCTTCTTTGCTATTTGCTATTGGGCTGGTTTTTTTTTTTTTTCCTGTCTTATTTTATTTTACTTTATTTTATTTTTCTTGCTTCTCTGTTTTCTTTTTTTGCTTCATACATGCAATAATGCAAAAATGAGAATAGCAACAGTTTGTATAAGCAAGCACGCGTCTTCTTTTTCTTCTTCTTCTTCTTTGTTTTTCTTTTTGGCTTCTCTTCCATGCTTGTGTATGTTTCTTTCTTTTTTTTTTTTTTTGCAATTGTCATTGTCTTTGTTTTGAGTCTCTGTTACAATAAAAAAAAAAAAAAAAAACAAATAATTAATTCATGACATCACACATTACATTATGAATCATTAGTCTTTGTTAATTTATCTATTTTTTATTAAGATTGTGCGCCTTGCTTCAATAAAGCCTGCGCCTCAAGGCCCCAAGATACCTTCAATGCCTTGGTGCGCCTTGAGCCTTTAAAAACACTGATGCTGCCCTTGTGCAGAATATAGTGGTAAAGGGATTGGAAGGAGCTCTGAGGTTGACTTGTCAAACACAAGTCTTCAAATGCAAAACCCCTTGTTAGGGTGGATCTATAGCGCAAATGTGAAATTTCTTGGGACAAAAATTGCTACCAAGAAAAGCCTCTTTTGTTGACTGTAAGGCTTTGGAAAAAAATAATTACTTCTACATAAGGACTGGAAAGAAAAGAAAACTCAACTTTGGCTTAGTTGGGTTAAAATTAGAACCCATATCGACATAATGATAAAAGTAGCCCTACCTTAACCATGAACACACCACTTCATTTCCATTTACAATCGTATATACATATGATTGGTTCATTTTCTGCCACATGAGAGAATGCATTAGATCTTTGTAGTTTTGTAGTGGTTGTGGAGTGATACGGAAGATGGATAAAATGAAAAAAATTTCATTGAGAGGAAGACAAGGTTGAAAATGCAATTCAAGTGCGAAAGTCAAGAATAGAGCTACTACCTACTTTGGATATCTTGTTAAGTGAGTGGGAAAACCTGATTATGATAAGCCGTGGATAAACAAAAAGAATTTTGTGTGATCGGCATTGAGAAGTGCATGTTGCAAAGATGGCAACTTGTGTGGGAAGGTGAGTTCTTCCTAGCAGTGAAGGGCTATGTAATTGTTAATACACTTACAAGGTAAGGTTGGGTCTTTTGTGTGAGAACTCTTATCTTGCAGTGTTAGATAATTATCTTAGCTTTTAGTGGGGTTATGTGCAATATTTTGCAGTGATTTATCCCAGAAATTTTGGATATATATGATAGGGGGTACGAATTTTGGTGAGCAGTTTTTTTGTTGAGAACTTAGATAAGAATTGTAGCTCTGAAAACAGGGCTTAGATTTTGAGGAGTCAACCTTATGATACACCCTTCAACCCCTCTATTGCTGTGTTTTGGGCAGTGGCCAGAGACTTGCCAATTGTTTCCTTTCTATCCAGACATGGGAAGCACCAAATCCCTTGTTTTGATATGGGTTTTTTTTCCCCCCCATAATCTGTTATTATCTTTAGATTGAGGAGACGCAAAAATTATTTTCCATGCATTGGTGTTGTTGCTACTCGTTACTGGGAGTAATAATTTCCTTGCTGTTTTAAGTTGTCAGCCTTTATTTTTTTCCACTACCTGTACTATTACGTGCTGCTGTTTATTTCCTGGTCCAAATTTTTGTGTTTTAGATGAATTGCTCATCTAGATACAAGACGTGGGTTTTGAGTTCCTATAACACGGTACTTGTATAGTTACTTGTATGCCTATACTTTGATTAGTCTTGTCCTGTTCACATGATATGTGGAGCATTTCTCAGAAGTGCTATTCCTGTTTAATTTATAGCTTTCTCATAACCTTGTTGGTACCTTATATTGTGCAATTATCAAAGTCAGATGTTCTTCATCTTGAAAACCATCCTCATAGATAGATTTACTTTGGATCAGATAGTTTCTATTGTTTCCAATGTTCAATTTGAGCTGCAAACAAAAAAAAGAAAACAAAGGTAGCGTTTGGTTTAGTTTTAGAATCATGATTTGACAATTTAGTTGTATTTTGAGCAATGTTTTCAAAACCGGACCGGTGAGCGAATCGGAAAAGGGACCAAGTGGACGGGTTACCGGTTTAACCGTCGGGTCAAAGCGATCGAATTGTAGCATCATAATTAATATTATATAATTTAAAAATATTACTATAAATTATAAATAAATAAAAATATATATAAATAATCAAATAAAAAAAATGTTGCATAGTATTTATTTATAATATTTAATAATTTCATAATTGATAAAAAAAAGTCACTTATTTTAAAGAAATTAAATTTTTTAAACATTCCTTCCAAACAATTTGATTAAATGCTAGATTTAATTTTGGAAGGAAATGAAATTTTCAACCCTCTCCAATTAATATGCTTCAAATAATTTGATTGAATTCTACATAGAATTTTGTAGGTTCTCTTTGGAAAATCTTTTCCTATATCTTTTCAAGTTTTTAATTAGGCTCTTCCTTATGGGAGGAGACTCTTGAAATAAGAATTTTTAGTCAAAATTTTGAAATATATATATATATAAGAAAGAAAAGAATAAAAAAAAAAAACGGGCCGACCCTCCCGACCCGGTTCGGGTCACCGGTTTTGCTCCCATTCCGGGTTTAGGGGGTTGACCGGACCGGACCGGAACAAGGTTTGGTTCTCGGTCTGGTCCAGGTTTGAAAACATTGATTTTGAGTTTGTGAGTTGTTGAATCATGATTTGAAAAGAGAAAATTTGTTTGATTATGAGATATGAAAACTTAATTAAAAAACTTATAATTCACAACCAAATACACAACTTAAAATTCTATTGAAAATTTTATTTAAAACTTATAACCAAACTCTTTTTAAAATTAAATTCAAAAAAATAATTATTGAAAAAATAATTTTTTTATTGAAAAAATAATTTTTTTATTTAAAAAATTCAAAAAATTTTGAAAATATTTTTTTATTTAAAATATTACAAAATATATATTATTTTTTGTTAAAAAAAAATATTCAGCTAGTGCTTTAAAATTACTTTTGATTGTATATTTGATTGTAATTTTTTTAAATTTTTGTTTAAAAATGTTTTTTTTTTTTTTAAAAAAAAAATTAGTTTGAAAAATTAGTTATTTTTTAAATTTGCTTTAGAATTACTTTTATTGTAAATTTGATTGGAATTTTTTTAAATTATTTTGTTTAAAAATGTTTTTTTTTTATTTTTTAAATATTATTGTTACAAATTAATTTTCATTTAATTTTCTTGTTAATTTCAAATAAATGGCCAAATAATTTGTCATTTTGGTCTTTTTAAAAAAAATTTCTATATTTAAAAAATATTAAAAACAAATACAAGGTAGTGTTTGGTTTATTTTCAAAACTCAATTTTGTTTTTAAATCATGATTGGGATGAAACATATTAACCAAACATATTTTTAAAATGTAATTCAAAATTATTTTCAAACTCCTCTCTTCTCTCGCTTTTTTTTATTATTTATTATTATTATTATTGATCAATCAATCAATCATTTTTTCTCTCCTCTCTCCTCACACATTCTATTCATCAATCAATCAATAAACTAAAAAAATTACAAATCATTCCAAAACTATTTTCAAAATGCATAACCAAACAAATTCTCTTTTTAAATCATAATTCAAAAAACTCAAAATTCAAAACACAACTTGACACTCAAATAATAATTTTAAAACTAAATCAAACGAACCCTAAATTTTTTTTATTTTTTTAATAGGTGGCAATTGTAAAAAAAAAAAAAAAAAACTGTTCTGGTCAATTGGTAGACCTAAAAATTCAAAAACTGTTTGGGAGGATGTCCGGACGGACAACCGGGTAGACTCAAAAATTCAAAAACTCTTTGGTTACCAAACATGTTTTGAAATGTGATTTGGAATCATATTTTGAAAACTATAATAAAAAAGAGGGTTGGAATATGAGGGTGGAATTATGATTCTGGAATGGAACCAAACAGAGCAAAAAATTCTCTGCAATCACCCTCCATTACCCGTGACATATGCAATAGTTGTTCCTTTTTGTTTTTCAAATTGTATTTTTATGCTTATCAGCTGTTTGATTATATGCTTTAGTAAAAACATTTGTTTGTAATGTGGTAGCCAAATGCCGAAAATACAATAAATGTTTACCTGTAAAAAGTTTGACATAATTTTAGGCTTGAATCTAATGGAGTGCTTACGTTTATGCTTTTGCCTTTTAATGGATTATGACGTTAAGCAGGACTAGAAATTTTTGACGGCACCTTGCACACAGGTTTCATTTGAATGGGGGTTGAGAGTCTTTAGCTTTCTGTTATTCTACAGGTTCTAGGATTTAAAGTGTTTAATCTTCAAAATATTTAACTCAGCCACTAATCAGTTTGCAAAGCTCTTCTTTTGTTTTTTGTTTCTAAGATTTGTATACGGGTCTCTATCACTTGTGCATCAGGTAGTTATTGGGACACATTTCTAGGGATGGAAGGCAATTTTGTTTACAGTGCTACATCTTTGGACTAGCTACTCTTTTTGGCCTTTTTACTGTTTGATTTTTTTTGGTATTTGGCTTTGCAGTCTCCATTTATAAACAGATATTACGGGAAGGCTCATAAAGTTCTGTGATTTGATGCCGAGGACCAATTGTATGCAGATCATATATCCTATACTTGAGGAGAAAACTAATTTTCTCATTTGGGATTCAGAAGAACCCAGCCTGAGGTTATTGATTTGGTTCTTCTTCTAAATGTAAACCCGTAGTTTTTAGAATCATTAGAGGAAGAAAGAATAGATAAAGAGAATAATAATAAAGTGGTCTTAATACCATCGGATATTTGTAGGATACAATGCCGAGGCATCCAATTTTGGGAACTGTTTATTTGGCATGATCAGTAGTTGGGAATTATCAGTTTAGTTTGGTTTAATCTTCCTCAGTAATTTTTTTTTTGTTGTTGCAATACCTTCGTTCTGTAATTTTGTTTTTGCCCAGAAAAAAGAGACCTTAGTTGTGTAATATTGGGAGTTGAGTTCTACAACATTATGAATGGGAGAATTAGTTTATTGAATCATTTTAAGAGCCTTTGGGGGGGATCATATATCTCATATATATGCTGAGTATCATTTTGTGCCCATTATGCTTTTGGAATTTTGGATATGTATGCTCTGAATAAGCTTTGGATTTGCAATCATGTCAGTTACATTGGTGTAGGTTAGGAGAAGTTAAGCCAAAGTTGGCATAAAGTATGCTGTCATTGTGTAGTTGTTAGGCTCTGTTCGGAACATGGAAAGGAAATTATTAGGGTTTTGTTTTACTTCGGTTTGAAAATTATTGGTAAAGGAAAAACATGAAAGAAATGCATATGCTTTCGACGAAACCCAATGTCAGGTAAAATAGTGATGATCTTCTCCAGTATTTTCTTCATCCAGAATTGGGTCCTTTGGATCAATTACTAGATGAAGAAAGTTTTAGAGAGGATTCGGATCCAAAATAGTGATGAAATAGTGGGCCAATTTGTGATTTTTATGAGATCTGAATGCAGCGAGTGTGTAAACACAGAAATATTTGTACATAGATAATGAGGAAAATATGTAATAATGTAAACAATTGAAATTTGTCTTTCAAAACTTTATTGAAAATAGTTATGAGCTTTATTTATTTGGACATTAACTTTTGAATAAAATTACATGATTTGAAAATTCACTTTGGATCTAAAACATATAGTTTGGAATCTGATTTTTAATTATAAATTTTTTTGAAAATTGATATATTCAAATTAAAAATGATGTGTTAACTAATAGAAAGTGATCTGTGAAAATTGAGTTAATGTTCCTCCCATAAATGGCTTGCCAAGAGAAGAGAGTTAAATGAACTCGATAGCTAAGAAGGGCCAAATGGTGTCCTCCCACGAGGGTTTCAAATGAACAGAGCCATTTGTGAACAAGTTCGAGTTTGGTTTAGTAAAAGCTCGTTTGAACTTGATTCATTAAATGTTTTGCGTATGAGTTAGAGCTTGAGCTCGTGAAATTTTTAATAAACAAGTTCAAACATTTTAAAGCTTGACTTATATAAGTTCGGTTTGTTAGTTGACTCATTTAATATTTATTATTTATATATTAAATAATATAAAAATATGTATAAAAAATAAGATAAATATATTATTTATATATTTAAAAAATATAAATGTAAATAATATTTAACTATAGATAGTAGATATTATTATTTTGGTAAAAGATTGATTTTTTTTTTTTTTAGTATGTTTATATATGTTGTATAATTAAAATTTTAATTGTAATTTTAGTCTCATATGCAAGTATAAATTTATAAATTTTTTGGCTCGTTCAGGCTCATGAACATGTTCAAGCTCAGAGTCAAGCTTAAGCCAATTCGACTTGAGTTCAGTTCGTTAAATTTTTATTAAACTCGAACTCAAGTTCAATAAAATCTTAATAAACAAGTCTAAACATACTAAAATTTCAGCTCGGCTCAGCTTATTTGCAATCTTACCTCCCATAGAGTTGCCAATTTTTAACAATATGATTCAAGGTGTAAACTACTAAATCTAGTCTTTCGCATTTTACTCTTCCTTTTTCTCAACAAATCCAAGGAATTTGTAGACATTCTCAGCAAATCTCCCGGTAAATTTCTTTCATGCTTGTTATTTACCAATGCCTAGGCTAAACAACCAATAAATTGTTGCTCATAGGAGATCAATAAAATTCAACTAAAAAGAGGATTGTGGGGGAAGCACAACGCAACTATTGTTGTCAAATGCCAAAATAGTGAATCACAATTTGAATAGCACAATTCCCTCAATTTTCGATTCAACAACACGATTTGAATTGTTTTGGTTAAATTTCAGTATCATATGAATCAATTTGTGAGGAACTGAAGCATTCCATGCAATTCCAAGGAATTGAATCAAATTGTGAATCATACAATTCTAACAATTCCAAGGAATTGAATCAAATTGTGAATCATACAATTCTAACAACCACGCACATGACCACCAACTTAAAATACAGGTCGGACTGAATCATATGCTTGTGAAACCATTGCCATTTCAACTGAATCAACAACCATTCCCATTTCAACTGAATCAACAACCATTGTCATTTCAACAGAATCAACACTGCTAAAAATAAAACAAAAACAGTAATGTGCAAAGTACAAGGTGCGAAGTTACATAACTTGTGTCAATGTATTCAGCTTATAGTATAACTTAATGTTACAATACAAATCAAGTACAAACTCGGAACCCAGCTCTATTTCGTTTCCCCTTAACAAGAAAACCCCAAAATAACAGACAAATTGAGGAAGGTAATAATATTACTTGATAAATAAAATTAGAACAATCGCCCGCGTCAACACACCTGTGTTCTTGTGTTTGCCAAATACACTACATTCATCTGAGTAGTAGTACAGATAAAAAAAAAAAAAAAACTACTAATAGTCGAGAGCGAAGAGAATACCTTTGACTTGATGTAAAATGCAGTAGGCTCTTCTTACCACACGGCTTCAGTTTTAATCACTGGTACTTTGCAAGAAATCTATCACCCTTGATGAGAAGTGATCTTTCCACTCCACAGGACTTGCAAAAGGCACAAGACCACATAGCAATGGTAGAAACAGAAGCATGGTGGCATAGAACAAAAATCGCCTGATCCAATAAGGGACTATTGTACTGCTGTTTGGCCCTTGACACACGGTAATGGGACCATGGAGAATAAGGAACAAAGCCGAGGTCCAAACATTTGAAAATAAATGCAAAAAGCATAGAACTTCCCAATACAAGAGCCAATGATATCCACTTCCCCCCATTGTGTCTATGCAAAGCTTGCCTGCAAAACCACAGGCAAATACTAGCAAGAGAATGAAGGTAATTGGCATTGTCTGTGTAGACATCGCAGAACGCTGGAGAAGCAAATACACAATTGCCAAGATCATTAACATGCCAAATAGCATACGGCTGACAACTTGAACCTGACACCACAGGATTCGCAGTCCTGAATTGACAGATGCCATGGGGTTTGGGACCCCCCACCAAGACTTGGACCTCTGAAATAGAACCAATCCTAATAAGAACACTTATCACCTAAATACAGAAAAGGAGTAGAGTAGCAAAAGAATCAATTATGCATGATGGATAATAGTAGCAAAAACAACCAAAAACTACAAGTTTGGCAACTAAGAACCACCTCCAACCTTTTTGAAAATTGATTCTTTTCTCCCAACTTTCAGGTTTCAATAACAAAGAAAATTATATCAAATCATAAAAACGAGGTAAAGGATAGTAACAATTCATTATATATTTTATTCAACTGTAAATTATACTAACCTCCCGAGGTTTGGAGAAAATACAACCAACCCCACAGTTTTGGCATAATTATACCGACCTCCATTTTAGTTATGTACAAACACAAAGATAAACAAGGTAGACTATATATATATATATATATATATTTCAGTATAAAAGAGATGACAACCTCACTTTTCCACCCATATATAGCTATCGAATTACTAATGAAAAGGAAGCTAGCCAAGTGTTATGTAAATTAAAACATTAAGAGAGCCCAATATAATTATGCCAAAAACTTGTGGGGCTTACTGTATTTTCTCCAAATCTTGGAGGAGATTAGCGTAATTTACCCTTTATTCAATTATTATAATTTCTTCCCCATAATTTTGGCTGCAAAAGATTTTTATTAGATTCATCAATATTTTGGATCTTGAAAAGCAGGTGAATTGTCAAATTGCAACACCAAAAAAAGAATGAGAGCAGAGAGAAGAAACGTGAGAGAGTGAGAAAGCGAGAGAGAAGTGAGAGAGACAACAAGGATACATTAATTTGACAAATTCTATTACTTTAGCTCTCACTATATTCCTCTTATGAAAGAACTAAACAAAATATTATAAGTAATATGTAACTTCGAGTATCCGATACTTCAAAATTAAGTATCCGATACTTCAAAATTAATAAAAAATTAATTAAGAAGTATCCGATACTTTTAAGAAGTATCCGATACGTATCCGCGAGTATCCGAGGAGTATCGGTATCCGATAAGTATCCGATACGGATACGTCACCCTTTTTGAAGTATCCGTGCTTCATAGGTTGGTGTGCAGATAAGAACATCTTCTAAAAGAAGTCAAATCAAAAGTAAAACTTCAGACTTTGAGAGAAGAGTTTGATCAATGAAATCCAGAACAAGAATACATACAGCCCCTTAGTCTTTACCTCAGAAGGCGTACAGGATGCGGTAGCTTCAGTTAGCCTGTTGTGTGAATAAACATAAGCTCCATATGCAACTGAGGCCAACATGATGAGCAAACCAGCAACAAGACAGTCTATGCACGTTTTAAGCAGCACAGCATGTCTTGTTTCTTCTAATTCATTTTTGAATTTCTCAGCTTTAAATGATGCCTTTGAAATACCCATAGATAATTTGCACCTCTCCAAGAAATTTAAATCAGAGTTAAGAGAAAGCTGTTTCTCTTTCAGTTGTAATTTTTTCGTGATGAGACCAATCTCAAATGCCTTGAGGTCGTTAGAACGAGTTTGTTCAATGACAGATTTTTCAAGGGTGCTAAACACAGACTGGTTAATTACAGAACGATTTGTGAAAGAAGAAACACAGGACAACTGTCGGTTTATTCCCCCACCATGCAAAACCAGCTCCTGAGTTTTTGAATCAATTTGCATATTTTGCTCTCTCTCTTCAAGAGTGCCAAAATGCTCCTCAGCTTCTTCTGAATGACAAGCTTTTATGCTAGAACTGCAAGAGAAACCATGTTCTTTGTTGAGAGACATTGGAGGAATCACATCTAAATAGTCATTTTCTTTGTTTGAATATCTTGGGTGTTCTCCAATGTATTGAGAAGATTCATTGATTAATCTAAGAGTCATCAAGGTGCTCCGGAATGATTTCTCAAAGTTCCTCACAAACAATTCAAACTTGTTGTCCCCAAATACCTGTTTCCACACATCCAATCAAAACAATAACTTCATAAATTCTAGGTTAACATCTTCAATGTGTCGAGCAATATCAACTACAAGAAAAAACTTAACTTGACAACCAGTCAAAAGATGAGTCAACAGTTGAGGTCTGGCTTACATTGGCTAAAGATTCTCTGACAGCCAAAGAGCAGATCTGCAAGAGAGTAATTGAATAACAACAATCAGCACACATTTCTTTTGGAGTGCAAGATAAAGCTGGCAAAAAAGTGCAAATGAAATAATGAAAGTTGTTTTATCAATCCAAGTGGAGCAACATTTGGTTGATCCATAGTTGAAAAAAAATACCCACTGGGAAATTTCACCATATGTGAAAATGGGTGTGCCATGCCAAGAAATAACACATTGATGGAGGACTTTCATCTATGGCTGGGTGGATCCATTTGTGGGAGTATAATTTCAAAACACATGTTGGTCTAAAAAGAAGTAGAGAAGTACCTTAGAAAGGTGATCAACAGCCATTGTTTCCCTAGTAGCATACTTTCTTTCCAGGACCTGTGATCCATATGCACCATATCCATGTATTACCCAAAAGCTACAAATGTTAATCTTAAAAAACAACAAAAGTCACCCATGCTTCTATTGGATGTTGGCAAGTATATAAAAAAAAAACACCCAGTTTAGCTCCCAATAGACGGGGGTCTGGGAGGAATAGAATTGAGTGCAAACCTAACCTTTGGCATAATTTGCACAAAGTGGCTGCCCTCAAGTTTGCACCTACAACCTCAACGTTGATATGAGGAGTTTAACCACTGAACAAGTAGCCCCGTGTCACTCTGGAAAGTTTCATGATAGTGAAAAAAAAGGAATTTCTTGTCATGATCTTTAAAGCTAATGTCATGAGGCCTGCTTTGAACAAGGATAAGAAAAACCCTTTAGCCTTACCCTCACATATCACACTCACCTGTGACTGGAAATCTAATTGTTATAATTATTTTCACAGTTCAAGTTCTCACATAATATTAATTAATTTCCAACAGAAAAATCAAACAAAAGGGTCACTTTGAAAAGTTGCACGATAGTGAATCAGGGAATTGCTTGACAAGATCTTTAAAAGTTAATGCCGTAAGGCTTGCTTTGAGCAAGGATAAAAAAAAAATCTTTAGCCTTAGCCTCAGACATTAGACTCACCCATGCCAGAAGGTGATGGACATGCTCTGAACCTTCACTCCTATGCAAATGCAAGTTGGAAGGTCGAATGCATGAGGTGGCACGTCAGGGCAACCAAATGCACGAGACTTAAGATTCATGTAGAGAGTCTTCATTTTTATTACAAATACAACAAAATTATAGGAGAAACCCTAAATCTAACGAGTGGTATTTGGTTATGACCCATTGTGTGTCTCTCAGTTATGACTGAAAGTGATTTAGTTATGACATTTGTAGTATCAATATCAAAAATTATCATAATTTGCATATGGTACACACACAAAAAGAGGTTTGTATTGTAGAATGACCCTTGAACAACAGATGTTTGTTAATGAAACCATGCCTTGTTTGGGAAATTTGCTATTTTAGTAGGTTATTTTAGTTTTTGTCTATTTTAGTAGGCTAAAATTTGTGTATTTAAGAAGAGGGTTAAATTTTTTTGTAGTTGGATATTATGTTTGTGAGAGAACAAGTGAAATGACTATAGGTTGTTTTATTGGCTATTTTAGCCTATTTTGTCTTTTTGTGGATTTTTGTCAAAAAAAAAAAAAAAAAAAAAACCAAAAATCGACTTGCCAAACAGGGCCATATAGAATGTTAATATCTAACAAATCTATTAATGCTAATTTTTTAATTTCAAGGGGTTATTAATTAGACGGATGACTAAAGTTAGATTTCAGACCACTACAACAATAGATTTGTTTTCCAATCCACCCCCTTCTAAAACATAGATCCATGTTACCTATATGCATGAATTCTCATTATTTTTTCTTTTAAAAAAAAAATACCCATAATAGCATAAAATAAATAGAAAACTTTGAGACAAGGGTGCTCAATGAAATAAATTAATGTGGTATTCCAAAATATAAACACAAAAATGAAATATTATCTAAAAGATTTTAATAAAACATTAGAAAATATAATAGGGAAAAATATATTTGTTAATTTCAACCATATCACCTAGGCATGTAAATACTTTTTTCCTCTAAGCATCAAACATTTCACTACAGATAAAAAAATTTGGCATCATCAAAGGTGAAACCAACATACTTTATTTTCAATTATTGAACTTCACAGTGACCTTTGTATTTTTTTGTAGTTTCATTTATTTATTAAATGTTTAAGCCATGCATTAGATTAGTTTAACAACAACTCAAGTCAAACCCTCTCTGTATGTATACTCCTGATATGCTGATGCGCAAAAGGCGTACAATTTACACCTGAGACGTACTACTCGGACCGTGATGCACAAGCCAAATAACATTTGTTTCTTCACTAATTTTACTTATTAACCATGATCATTAGCTTGTTATATATCAACAACTTGATAGAAAAACAATTTATTTGACAATCTAAACCATTAACAAAATGCAAAATTGTACCCAAACAAATCAAGAAAACCATTAACAAAATTCAAAATTGTACCCAAAATAATCAAGAAACATAAAAATCCAACCAAACCCAAACAGTCAAAAATCAGCTACATACAATCCAAAGTCTTCTAGAATTAAATCTCTCTCAAAAGAGGAAAAAAAAATTGGACTTTTTTTTTTTTTTTTTTTTTTCTTTTCCAGGAAAAGGCTTTTCCCCAAAAATCTGATTTTAGTTTTCCACAATGACTAAGCAATGAAATTGATCGTACCTGAGCAACAACAGCAGCAATCGACATTCCGAGAGGGAGAGCCAAGGCCTCGACATCGCATTCCTTTTGCCGAGCCGAAGCGATCAAGACTCTAGGGTTTCGTTGCTTAGTTGCAACGCGTACCCCTCTCTGTATAGAATGCGAGGTAGAACAAACCGACGAGGTTGAAGACGATGTTGCTTCAGAGCCATCCATGAAGAGCTTCTTCTTCTTCTTCTGGTTCTTCTTGGTTTTGATGGTGATGGATTTGCCGCCGTTGATGGTGGGTTTTGATGGGGGCAGGATTTCGGCCGTTGAATTGGAATCGACGGCGACGGCGGAGGCGGCGGTGGGGGGTGCGTCAGTGGAGGCGACGGTAGGGGAGTGGAGGGGTTTGGAAGAAGGTGGAGGGGCGTCCATGGAAGATTGAATGGGTGGAACGGGGTCGAATTTCAAATATCGATTAATTTTTATGAAGAGAAAAAGAGAGAGGGAGAGAGACTAGTAGGTCCAAAATCAACTCCAACCACGGTAGTAGATTTTTTTTTTTCTCTTAATTATCTGTAATACTATTATTAAGTAGAAGTCTGAATTGATTTAGTAAAATCTTCTCCTCCTTTATGTCAAGTGACAATTTTACATATGTTAAAAAATTAAAAATTATTATATACACTGTAAATAAATTTCAAACTCCAGCCCTTAAGTTTTGTTAAAAATATATTTATTATTTAAATAACATGTATAGTGCACTCCATTTTTACTTTACACACATGTAACCTACTTTAAGGCCTATATATTTATTATTTAAATAACATGTATAGTGCACTCCATTTTTACTTTACACACATGTAACCTACTTTAAGGCCTAGTTTGGGAATAATTTTTTTTAGGAACTTTTTAACTAAAATGTGATATTAAAAAAATTAGTATGTTTGGGATATTTTTTGATTTTTTACGAAAAGATATGTAAAAAGTAAAGAGAAAAGAAAATCTTTGACTTTTTAGTATGTGTTGTTGGCTTTTTTATTTTTTTAATGACTTTTTAATTTTTTGACTAAAAAATCCATTTGCCAAACGAGGCCTAAGTTTTCATTGGAGCACCTACCCACTCAGTAATTGAGGGGTGATTTAAAAAGTGAGCAAGGATCCTCTAGAGTAATTTTTCCCTAAAGTTTCCTAAAGTGTTGCAGTGTATGGTTGAGATTTATTGGCAAGTCACATCAATTTTTCTGATGTGACTTGCCAGTAAATCTCAACCACACAATATAGCACTCTAGGAAATTTTAGGGAAATTTCACTCTAGAGGATCCTTGGTGTTAAAAAGTTGGTAAAAAATTAATTTTTTGATTTTTTGACTTTCTTTATTTTTTTATTTTTTATCTTTTTATATATAAAAAATATGAGAGGTGACATGATTCAAAATAAGTTAAAAATTAAAAATTAACTTCTACCTAACTTTTTAAATTACCCTAAGCTAAACTTTGTCACTTTCTATCAGTTATTTTAACACTTCTAATGGAGATGCTCTTGCACCATCATACGCTTCCAATTCACATTAAGGTGTAGAAGGTGCTTGATCACTGTTTAGTAATCAACATCAACTAAAGTTACAAGAATCTAATAAGCAATTAATTACTGTTTACATTAAAATGGCAAGCAATGAACATCGACAGCTTTGCAAGAAGTTTGAGTCTTTGTTTTGATTAGGTACACTTAGATTTGGATCAATGATATTGGATTAGAAAGCATTATTAATATAACTATTTGATTATCTTTTTAAGGAATGTGTTAGTGCCACACGTTTAGCATATAACATATATAGCAATGTTTGGTTTTTTAATTTTTTGACTATTTTAATTACAAAAAGGCAAAATAAATTTTTTAGTCCAATAAACAAAACATCACATTTAATTCATAATCATTTTATTTTTTCTCTTACAAAAGTTAAAATAGTCAAAAAAAAAATTATTCTAAACAAGACTTAGCCACCGTTTGGGAAGTGGGTTGGCTTTTTGGCTATTTTAGCTTGGGGCTAAAAAGCCTGGTTTGAGAAGGACTTTTTGGCTTTTTGACTTTTTTTGTGAGAGAGGAGTGTAATGATTATGGGTTGAATTTGATGTTTTGTTTTTTGTGGCTAAAATAACCTATTTTATTTTTTGTGGCTATTTTAGCCCCAACCCAGTTTAGTCTAAAATGTAAGAGAGGTTTTAGCTATTTTCAAATGTAAGGGAGGTTAAATACTCCAAGACAATACTACAATAAGGTAAAATAGATTTTACCCTGTTAATTATTAAAATTATAATTTTTAACATGAAATTGTAATCATTTTTTAAAAGTATCACCGTGATATGGATACTTTTATATATATATATATATATATATATTATTTTGTTACTCTATTGAAAAAGAGAGTGGGTGATAAATTTATTAGTGATTTTTTTTGTTACGATTTTTATAAATTGTTACTAAAACTTATAATTAGTGACTTTTTGTATGATAATTTTTTTTATAGGACCTATTAGACAATAAATCTACTTATTAGGACATATACGTAAGTATCATTTTAATTATTTGTAAACAAGTGAGAAAATTGGGAGCTCATTGTTCACTTGTTTTAACTAATATGGACACCAAGAGGGGGTTGGTTCAGTGGATAGGACCTTCGAATCCCTTGCTCAAGGCTTGGGTTCGAGTCTAGCGGCGGATATGTTGGAGTAGCCTATCTGCATATCTATTTTATGAATCTAAAAAAAAAAAAAATTAATATGGGCTAAAATCATACATTTTATACCCCTTTTAGATTTTTTTCCCCCCTTAATTATTTTAACTAATGTGGGGCTTAAATCATACACTTTATCCTCCTTTTAGATTTTTTTTTCTCCCTTAATTATTTTAACTAATGTGGGCTTAAATCATACACTTTATCCTCTTTTTAGAAAACTCACTAACTTTGGACAGTAGAAAAAGCTCACAATTTTTTTATTATTAGATAAGATCCTTTACATCTTTTATTTTTATTTTATTCAAAAAAATTATTAATTTACCCTCACTCTTCTCTCACATTTTTGGATCTCTCTTCTTTTTGTCATCCATCTTTGTGATCTCTTTGATCTTTCTCTTTCCAAAGCCTAAAACCCAAATCCACTATCTCCTCACTCTCCACCACCGCCACCTCTTTCCGCTTCATTGCCATTGTCGGTTTCCACTCCAATATCGTCTTTCCATTTATCTTCTCTCTTCTTTTTTTCTACAAATTTAGATCTCTCCACCACTTTATAATCTTCGCTTCCCAAATCCTAGAATCCAAATCCACAATCTCCTTATTCTCCGACACTGCCACTACCATTGCCATTGCCACTGCCACCGCCACTTTTATATCCTTTCGCTCCGATGACCGCTTCATTACTGCTGGCCTTGTCCATGTATTCGGCAGCGAGTTCCGAACCTCTCTTTATCGTTTTTGCGGCCATATCCACCCCGTTTACCTCGTCTACTACCATGAAGATGGGTCATTGATCTATTTACAGAAGAATAAGGAGTAGGTGATCATGGACAAAAATAAACTCACGGATTTAGAGAAATGTGGAGGACTTGCTGAAATTTTTTTGAACCTATACCAGAGAGATTTCACTAGACTTATACCAGAAATTTCTCTGGACTTATACCAGGTAAAATTAATCTGAATTTTTCTTCATAGAGAAATTTGTGTAAAATTTGTCTAAAATTTCTTTGGACCTATATACCAAAGAGATTTTACTAGAGCTATACCAGAAATTTCTCTGAACCTACACTAAGTAAAATTAATTTGAATTTTCCTTCATAGAGAATTTTGTGTAAAATTTGTCTAAAATTTCTTTAGACCTATACTAGAGAAATTTCATTGGACCTATATCAGAGAATTTGGAGGACCTGCTAAAATTTCTTTGGATCTATACCAGGTAAAATTAATCTGAATTTTTCTTTATAGAGAAATTTGTGTAAAATTTCACTGGACCCATATTAGAGAAATTTATTCACGAAGAGAATTTTTTTGGAAATTTCATTGGACTTATATCTGAAACTTCTCTGTCATGTTGATCTTTTTGGCCACTACACACTTACAATATGAAATTTCATTGTATCTATATCTAAAATTTCTTTATCATGTTGATTTTCTTTGAAATTTCTCAACAAATGTAGTCTGAGAAATTTACTTGCATGTTAATTTTCTCCAACACATTTCTTTTTCTCTAAAATTTCTCTGCAAATGTAGTAAGAGAAATTGACTTGCATATTGATTTTTTTTAAAAAAATTTCTCTCCAAATGTAGTTAGAGGAATTTACTTACATGTTGATTTTCTCTAGCATATTTGACTTTTTCTGAAATTTCTCTACAAATATAGTCAGAGAAATTTACTTTCATGTTGATTTCTAACTCAATGAAAATTTGTCAATTTTTACTTTTATTTTTTATGAATTTCATATTTATCATGGATCATGTTTGATAGATCTCAACAAGAGCATTCAAAAAATATAATTTTTGTTAAGAATGAACATCTAAATCAAAAGCTATCAAATTTTTAAGTTTTGAAAAATTTCAAAAAGTGAAAGACGTTAGACTAATGTAAAACACAAGGATATTTTGGTCCAAGAATTTTGGAGGGAAGAGGCGCGTGTTTTTGAGGGACCTAAGGTAGTATGAAAGTTTGTGGTGTCCTTTATTTCTTAAAATTGTAATATTATGGACCTTAAAAAAAAAACCAATTTAACTATTCAATTTCCAAAATAATAAATGTTATATGTTACTACATTTTTCATAGAATACTAAGTATTGGCATGGTTGTCAATGTGGCATTTGTGGTAATATTTTTTAACATGTTTCAAAAAATTATTTAATATTTTTTAATATATTTAAAAATATATTATTAAATATTGTGTATAAAAATTAATATCCACTAGTAGTAATAAGTTTTTTGAGGTCATATCTATACACGGCATTTGCCCTTACTGTAAACGGGGGACCCTGCAAGTGAGCGATGGAATTGATTCCCCGAAATTAGTTGAAGTGCGTGTAAATTAATCCGAACACTCAATTATTAAAATAAAAAAAAAACTAATACATACATAAGTTTGTGTCCTTTAATTATGTTTTTAAAAGATTGTGCATGTGAATTATAAAATGAGCTCTCAAATAAAAGAAATTGGTTTAATAATAAGGGAAAGACTATGTTATACATCCTCAAATGAGGTGTACCAGATACAGGTCAAAGAAGAAAATGGTATAATTTCATACTTTCTGAGTTATAACTAAAAAAAAGAAGAAGTTATAACCAAATAACACATAAGGTATAACCTAATATCTCATGAGTCATAACTAAAATAAGATCATAACTAAAGAAAAAAATTGATCACAACTAAGGAAAAAATGGCAAAACTTAAGGGCGCATATGGTAGAGATGTGTATAGTAGAATTTTCCTAATAATTATAATATACGACTACACATTTTCAGTAAATAAATAAATTTCAAATAAAATCTTCGTTCCATTACGAACTTTTAACTG